AAACCCAGAAAACATAAGAATGATGCCCTGGGACGACGCACAAATTCACCCCGGAAAACGAGTCGTTTCCCCTTGATCCCGTAGCCACGATTCCTCAAGATGCTTCTGTTATCCAACGACACTTCGTCTAGAAATACTAGTTGATACGTATCCCAATCAAAATAACTTAGTTCTGAGCAGTAACGGAGAATTTCATGCTCTTTGATTTGGATGGCCCTTCGTTCCAAAGCCTTCCACGTCAATCCTTCAGCATGCAAAATTCTGCAGATAGATGATCCACTAATCTTGATCTGGAATCGTTGGTAGAAAAGATCTCGACATTCCTCAAGGTAGAGAATCGGGTTCTGATGGTAGAGGTCCAAAATCCATTGCCTTTGTCGTGTACTGAATTTCCGGAATACTTGCTCCCGCTGCTAAGAGGAAAGTAGTCCATTCTCCTCGTAGGATGTTATCCAGCCGCTGATTGTTGTTTTGCTCTTACGGTACACAATTGCAAGCCTGGCTCTTGTTAGCCCGAGGAAATAGTAGCCATAAAGGCAATGATACTTAGTATTCGTGCTAGCTCTTTTATTTTCAACATTCTGTAGGATTACGTTGGCCATGTTCCTATTGTAAATAATCAATTTCCACAAAATCGACGGAAAACGAACAGCTATGAAAAATCAAAACAAACAATGACAGATGTCATAAATAAAACAGCGCATGCCAGAACTTGACAGATAGCACTTCTAATCACACTTATGCATGGTTGCACTTTCAAACTGTGCAGTCCATTTAAGGGAGAAGAGCGCAATACTATGGCAGGGATAAACCATTTTTATACTAAGTTTGCATTCTCTCCCTTTATACCGACCTTTGCGTCGGTACGGAGAGTTGAGATTTAGCGTAACTTTTATACTATTTAGATTTCAATATTTTTTTAGTGAACTATCTGCAGAAATTTTAATTTTGACAAAAAAACACATTCTCTTGATCAAGGTAGCCTCTGAGTATCGAAGTCAACATTTGTTTTTGTTCATTCGTGGCTGGCTGTTTACTATCGCCTGTGTTGTTGTCAATATCAATATTCTTCTTCATCTTGATGGGGATGATTTTGAGGATCAAATTCAAAATGATTATTTTCATATTACACAAATATAGAGCTATGGACCGTGTTGTGTTGGTTTTTGTACAGAGATTGATGGGAAATTATTGCCTCATGCTGAATTGTTGATTATATCGAGGTTTTAGGCTCTCGAGTTGACAATTTTCAAAATAATCATTTTGCCCAATATGAATTTTGATTTTGCTTTTGAGGATCGCTTCTGATATTGACAATTTTGGGATGGATAAGCAAGCAGTGGTGAGTATCAACAAAAGCGTACTCGTTAATGTATAATGAACTCATTTGTTAATTTTTCTCGTACGTGGCAGCGAAGATATTCAATTTTCGTGATTACCTCTCACCCCCAGCAGGCCTGGGTTCAAGCCCAGTCGGCGCCGCTGGGATGTTCTGAGGCTCTGATCACGCCTTCCTTCGTAAGGGAAGTAAAGCCTTTGGTCACCGGCTCATGAGTTGATGGGTCGATAGGTAGGGTCGATAGGTAGGGTCCATTAAGTTGTGGGAGCTGCCTCCCTGGCGTCGGTAGCATTGGTGCTCAGCACGGAAAACAAGATCGACGGAAAACATATCCAAGGAAAAAAAATATCCAGCAACGTTTCCGTTAGTACAATCAAATCGCAACAGCCAGGAAAAACGAGTCGATTATAGTCCTCAGCCCACGCACGTTTTGATAATAAATCTGGTGGCCTTTGAGGACCGATCTCGGGAGCTGAAAGTCGAAGTAAATTTAGGTATTGAATGTTCAGAATCGCAATCATTCTCACCTGGAGTTGCAAGCCGGAAACCCCCCATTTTTGTTGTAGTTTTGCTTGACAGCAGCTTTTCAGCTTCGCACCTCCATATGTTGCTGTGATGCGAAAAGTGAGAAAGCAAATTACAGTGATCTTGCTCACTGAGCAATGTAAGTTATAGTACGTTCAGACTACAGAGTTAAAACATGTTATAACGCTATCTTGATGGTGGTCTCTGTGTTGCAATTATTTGACAACCGTTATAACATGTTATAACTCTCCAGTCTGGACAGCGTATTACTCGAAGTGCCTCAAAAGCAACTCTGAAATTGCTCGTGATTGGTAGCTGTCCCTTGCTCTGTTGCACCAAAGTGTTAAATTACAACAGGGATAGTACTTTTTAGATGAATTGTCCTGTCCTAAACTACCAGAAATAATCTGCATAGATTTCCAATAACTGTATCACATCGATATTTACACATTTCTGCATCAAAAATGTCCAAACAGTATGTCGCATGGCTGCAGACGAAATCAAATGGAACTCATCACACCTAGAGGGGGTCTTGTATAAAGCCTAGTAAACAGTTCAAAGCGAAGTGAAAAACTCTGGAAAAACCATGAAATTTCACTAGCGAATAATGGATGTGGAACATCCACGTGAAACGAAATCGATCAGTTTACACCTCCGATAAATCGCATCTGTTTACAGTTCCAAGCGAAGTGGAATTTTTGTCAAATACATTTTTCACGCAGGTGAAAAATTGAATATTTTATATGGGTATTTCACTTCGCTTCGATCTCTATACAGGTCTTAAGAGAGGAGCGGACTGAGTCAATGGCGATGTGCTTATCTTGATTGCTTTGACAGTGTTGTTAGTAATCACATAGGCGTGGGTTGCCAAAGAAGTTTGTCTTAAATCCGCTCATCTCTTATACTAGACTCTATCTACTCACACCCATTGGAAGATTGCCGCAAAAGCTCAACGCAGATGTCGCCACTGCATGATGATGATAATGTTGACAGACTGCATATCAAATTCGTGAAAATTAACATTAAATCATAATTTTCATAAAGCTTGCGTGAAATCCTTCCAATATAACATTCGAATTGAAGAAGAAAACGTTTTTTACGATCAGACTGATGGTGCATCTTTGACTTTTCCAGGTGAACTTTCATAAGATATAGGTATTCATTTCATTTCACGGCTCCATCAATGCTTCATCGTAAATATGATGGTAAACAGAAGTAAATTGCGCAATTACTCAAAATGAAGATGATTTGTCATCTTGTTATCACTTTGAAGACCATCTAGCACCATTTTATAGTATGGTGCGTGTTGAGTAAATCAAGTTCCGGTGCGTTTTCCGTCCAAAAATTATGATTATCAATATGTTTACCTAAAAAAGTCCAAAATGAACATTTATTGAATATTGGCGTCCTACACAACCATTTCTCCATTATCACCAGCATGATACAATCTTTCCTAAGTAAATTAACTTAATTTTCACTTTCATCCTAGTGGAAATCGCACATATTCACTATTTTCCGAAAAATGCAGCTGCGCAGGAGCTAACCTCTACCTGTGGGTGCAAACTTATTATGCAAAATTTTCCATGAAAACATCTCCGATCCATACCGAAATAATAACAGTTAAGGCCGGCGCACAATAGATACGTTTTCAGGTTTTTTCACAGTTAGCCCATGCATTATCTGTCAAAAAACCCGAAAACGTATCTATTGTGCACCGGCCTTTAGTTTGCAAACACGTTTTCTTACACGATTCAAGCAAAAGTTTCCACCGGAAATTATTGGTTTTTCTTTATGTACCACACGGCGAATGGGAACGACCCAAATTTGAGTTTAGTTCACTCATAATCGCCAAAAGTGCAGGAACTCAGCGATGAGTAAAATTTGTCTCATGGTTTTTTGTGGAAAACCTAAAAAATCTCAAATTCCCTGCAAAATCCTGGAAAACCCTGGGAAAACATGAGGCAAATTTACTCATCGCTGAATTCCTGCACTTTTGGCGATTATGAGTAAACGAAACGCAAATTTGGGTCGTTCTCATTCGCCGTGCAGTTTGCCCCAAAAATCGTCTGTTTTACTTGGTGAATGTGGAAACTATCCTCCTTCTAGTAGTTCTCACTTCGTAATGTAGGTGGCAAAAGCTTGGAAAAGTTTCACTGCAAGACGCCAATAGAGATTGCTAAAGTGTTCGGTCGCCAAGGTCGCCAAAGGCAGAATCTGTCATCGCAAATCATCCCGTTCGTTCGTTTTGTTTTCATATATTTTATTGTTGTTTATATATTTAAGTTCATGTTGTATAGAATGTTACAATTGTAATAATTATAGTTATGTTTTACCGTTTTTTGTTGTTTTACACTTCATACCTGCTTGCGCTCAATATATTATTAGCAATAATAATAATAATCGTAATAATAATAATAATAATATGATGTTGTCCTCTACAAACTTCCAGCTCATTCGACAAAAAACGTTGTTTACAGCTCTATTGTTTATCATTGTTTCACATTTCCAATAAGGTTGTGGTTGTTGTTCTCTAGACATAAAAATCCCTTACAATTGTTGACGCCCCTTTCGTCTGCCAACCCCATTGTGATTAGCCCATTGTGTTTACACATACGTCACCCGAGCGTCACATTGGGAACACACACACGGGAGAAGGAGGCTTGTGTTGTTTACCTTTTGCTAGTATTCTCCTTCCCGATTAGTGCGCTATTATTGTTTCCGTATTTCACTATTTACTTCGAATAAATGCTACCAAAAAAGTACACACGAGCACACATGAACCGCACGGTTTGTTTACAGTTGCGTGTGCATGAGTTTATCCCTTCTTATTCTTCGTTCCATTCAGTCCTTCGTATTGGTATTCTGATTTTCTTCAACTCTCTCTCTCTTTCTCTTGTCAGGTTTATTTTGATTTCGACATTTTTTTTTAAATCACTGCCCCAGTCTGCTATGTTTCAATGTTGTTTAGTAGTAGATGAATCAAAACCGAAAACGAGTTAACCACCGTCGATTTTGTTTTAACTCTGCGTCGACGGTTGCTGCAATATTTGCATCAAGGTACTGTTTGTTTACATATTATTTTTTCTTTAATCAACGAAAATTTTTCAAGAGAGATCATTTTTTTTCGGTTCAAGACTTTAAGAAAGAGATACGAAGGTTATTTTTTTTAGCTTTGATTCCGCACAAATACTAAGGAAAATTCAGGGAGATTGACGTAGCGTACAACAACGAACAAAAATAGGACCCTAAACTAGCTATCACTAATGGAGTTTGTTTTGTTTTCTTCTTAGTTTTTGTTGCTAAGAAAACGTTTAAACCATTTATATAGAACGTTTTATGCTTGTTTGTTTGTTTGTTTGTTTGTTTGTTTACTTACACGTTGTATGTTTTGTTATTCCACTTGCGTTACGCCATGTAAATTACTAATTACACACTTTTGATTTGTTTTCAATTGTTTTTTTTTGTTTTCTACAAATTACATCAACTCTCTAACGCTCCTGCATTCAGAAATACACTACCATTCATCATTACTCTTCGTACGGAAAGAATTGCTTATATGAATATGTACGTGGGCAGGAACGGGAACGGAACGGAAACTGAAAGCTATTAGAGTAGTATAGTTATTCATGCTAGGCTGTCAGTTCTAAACAAATTGAGATTTTGGCAAGGCAGCGGTTGTTTTTAAGTCATTTATCGCGGAAAATGGAACACGCGCGCACTCTGCGCCTACTGCGATCGGTTCGATTGATTCAATGTGTTTTGACAGTGTTGTAGAGATGGCTGCTGCGACAGTATCAGAATCAACGTGCGTGTGTGTTTAAACGTAGATTTCAAATCAGACGTTCATTACACGGTGCATTTGCTAAGGACAACAACGGCAGCGGCAATAAAGATGTGATGTAAATCATATCAGACCCGGCGTGTGCGGCGAAGGGGAGCTATTTTTAGCAGGCTCTAGTTCCGCTGTTCTTCTGCATTTCTTTTGTATACAGAATGAACAATATTGTGACGACTGAGTGTGGTGTTTTGATTTTCATCACAGTTTCCAGTTTTGTGTTTGGTTTTATCTGAACGATGAAGTTTATTAATAGAACTATGTTCGCTCGACAGGAAAGCGAGAATCTACGGAATATCGATCATTGAAGTGTACGGCTCAAAATTATCTCTGGAAGAGAATTGAGAACTGAAACTTTTGAGCAACTCATTTATATCAATTGTAATGATTATTCTCATTTTCCCTGAAATTCTTTCTGAACTACTCTGAACCTTTTTTCAAAAATTCTTTAAAATTGCCAGAAGTGGATGCCACACTGATCGGTTTGAACATTTCGGAACTTCTCTCTGAATGCCTCTTAAGTTCTCCGAGGTTCTCAGAACTTCTCTCTGTAGTTCCTTGAGTATCTCTGTGAAGTTATACTTGAATTTGAAACTCTCTCAGCATCTCCCGAAAGTGAACTATACTATGAACTTCTCGGAAGCTCTAATTTACCAGAAAATATCAGATCTTTACCTTTAATTTTTCTAAACTTTTGCCAAAGTTCGCTAAAATTTTCTTAAATTCTCCATGAGGGTCTCTGAAATACTCCTAACTTTTTCCTAAAACTCTCTGAACTTCTCTGAAAAGTTTTTGGAACCTCGCAGAACCTCCCTCTGAAGTTCTTTAAATTCTTCCTGTGGTTATTATTTGAACAGTGTGCTACTGATCTCTATGTACTCATTCCTGAACGACTCTTAATTTTTTTTTTTTTGAATTTCTCTGAGAAGCCTCTACAGAAAACTATTAGAATTCGATCCCTTCGAATGTTCAGTAGTCTTTAAAAAAAAACTCGCTTCAATTTCTCTCAATAATTCTCTTTAAATATAGCTTGGTGAATTCTTAAGAAGTCGCTTGGTACACTTCGCATCAGAATTGCGTTAAGAATTAGGTTTCTTGGGAATTTTCTTGAAATTTCCCTCGGAATCCTCCTCAGAACTTCCTATTAGTACTTCCAGAAAATCCTTAAATATCTATTCAGATAATCCGTGCCAGTATCTTCTGAATTTATTTGTAACTTTACTCTCCACGGAATTCTCCAATATTCCCTTGAAACTCTCATATGAATTCCCTTTAAATTCTGCTAAGAACTTCCTCAGATTCCCTCTAAACTTTTCTAAGAATTTTCTTGGAATTTTCCACTGAATTTTCGTGAAATACTCGCTAATCAAGATGCAGTCTTATATTGAATGTTATGAATTAGTGGAAACAAACCGTTGGGCGCAACACATCTAAATCTAAAAAAATCTCACGATAGCGAATCAATCTATGAAAAATCTTGTTTCATCTCTTGCATCTAAATCCATCAACTTGCATCGCTCCCCACGTTTTTGCAGGAAATCTTCAAAATCTTCATCAACTTCCCTACTATCGAAAAAGAGGGTGCGCATCCCACAACAGCAAAGCAAAAATGTTCCTGCATCTTAGATAGAGTCGCTCCCCTCGGAACAAACTGACTTATCATTAAGCTAGATCACTTCAACAGCCTTGAATGTTTTGACGAGTTTCATAAAAAACAATCACAGTACGCACGGAAAGTGAAAGACTGTTAACTGAGATTTCTTCGAGCTAAATGTCCATGATACAAGTTGCAGTTAACGGACACTCGTCTGACAAAATTGTACAACACCAAAATTTCCATAAAATTCAGATGCACATTCAGTGTTGGAAAAGTTCGCGATATTTCACGAAGTTCTCCAAGGGAAAAGTTCGCGAGTCATAGTGATTTTTTGCGAACTTTTCCATCACTGTGCACATTGATGAACGCTGAGCCGTTTAACATACAGTCGTTTGGCATAATTTACCTGAACTCACATCTGAAGTGCTCTGAACCTTTCTCTGGAGTTATTTGAACTTCTCCAGGAAGGTTTTCAAAATTCTTTGAACATTTTTTTGAACTTGTCTGAACATAAGCGTAGTTCTCTAAGCTTCCATTTAAATATATTTCTGAAGCCCTCGGAATTCCTCTTTGAAGTTCTCGCAACTACGCTCAGAACTAAACGAAAGCCTCTCTCTAAAGTTCTCTGCATTTATCTCTAAACTTCTTACAAACCCTTCATACTTCTCCATGCAGCTCTCTGAGCTTCTTCCTGAAGTTATCGAAACATCTTTCCATTTCTACTGGAAGATATCTGAACATTTTACTGAAGCTTTCTGAACTTCACCCTAAAGTTCTCAGAACAACTTTCCAAAGTTCTCTGAACTTCAACTTGATTGAAGTCCACCGGGCCTCATTTTCCTGAAGTTCTCTAAACATTTTTTCGGAGCTGTCAGAACTGCTACTTGAAGATTTCTGAACTTCTACTTGACGTTCCCTGAACAGCTACTTGCAGTTCTCTTAACTTCTATTTGAAGTTCATTGAACATCTTTCCAAAGTTCTCTGAACTTTTCCATGAATCACCTCTGAGCAACTACTTGAAGTTCTCTGATGTTCTACTTTAAATCTTTCCTGAGGTTTGCTGAACATTCTCCTGGAGCTCCCGGAAGATTTATGATCATCAGTTCGGAGCTCCCTGAACTTCTCGGAGTTTCTAAATGAAATTCCCTGAACTTCTCAGCTCTCTAAACTTCTGCTTGAAGATGTCTGAACATATTTCCAGAGTTTTCTGGATTTTCCCCTGAAGCTCTCTTAACTGCTTCCGGAAATTCTCAGAAAAACATTCCAAAGTTCTTTGAACTTAAACTTGAAGAATTGTGGACTTTTACTTGAAGCTATCCAAACATCCAGCAGAAGTTATTTCTGCCTGATAATCTCTCAACATTTTTCTTAAGCTCTCTGAAGTTCTCCAAACATCCTTTCGGAATTCTCTGCACTTCTTCTTCTTGAAGTTTTCAGAGAATTTACTTTCTTTTAATATCTCCTTGAAGTTCGAAGAACTGCTACTAAAAGAAGTCTGAACTTCCCCTAGTTCTTTGGACATATTCCCAAAGTCCTCTGAACTCATCCAGGAATCTTCTCTGAGCTACTACATGAAGTTCCCTGAAGTTCTACTTTAAATGTTCTGAACTACTCTTTGATGATCGCTGCACATTTGTCAGAAGCTCCCTGAAGATTTCTGAACATCATTCCGGAGTTCTCTGAACTTCTCTCTAAAGCTCTGTAAACTTTTGCTTGAAGATGTTTGAACATCTCTTCAGAGTTTTCTGAACTTCTCCCTGAAGCTCTCTGAACATCTTCCTGAAGTTCTCAGAAAAACTTGAAGCCTTCTGGCCTTTTCCTAGAAGTTTTCTTAACATCCAGCGAAAGTTCTCAAGACTTCTTGCTGAAGAATTCTGTTGATTTTTCTGAAACTCCCTGAAGTTTTACTGAACATCTTTTTGGAGTATTTATTGAAGTTCTATTTACGTCTTCCAAGAGATGTTTAATTTTTTTCTAAATCTCACTGAACTTCTATTTGAAGTAAGTCTTCTGAGCTTCTATATGAAGTTCTTTGAACTTTGAACTATGGTTATTTCTGTACAGCTCTGCACTTCTCCCTGAAGATCTCTGAACTTCTTTCTGAAGTTTACGGACCATCTTTCCGAAGTTCTCTGAGCTTCTACTTGAAGTTCTTTGACCATATACTTGAAGTTGCCTGAACTTCTACTTGAAGTTCTCCAAACTTCTACTTGCAAGTTCTCTGAAGTTCTGCTTGAAGTTCTCTGAAGTTCTGCTTGAAGTTCTCGGAACTTCTACTTGCAAGTTCTCTTGAAGTTACCTAAACTTCTACTTGCAAGTTTTCTGAACATCTACTTGAAATTATCTGAACTTCCACTTGAAGTTCTCTGAACTTCTACTTGAAGTTCTCAGAACTTCTACTTGAAGTTCTCTGAATTTCTACTTGAAGTTCTCTGAACTTCTACTTGAAGTTCTCTGAACTTCTACTTGAAGTTCTCTAAACTTCTACTTGAAGCTCTGTGAGCTTCTACTTGAAGTTCTCTGAACTTCTACTTGAAGTTCTCTGAACTTCTACTTGCAAGTTCTCTGAAATTCTACTTGAAGTTTTCTGAACTTCTACTTGAAGTTCACTGAACTTCTACTTGAAGTTCACTGAACTTCTACTTGAAGTTCACTGAACTTCTACTTGAAGTTCACTGAACTTCTACTTGAAGTTCTCTAAACTTCTACTTGAAGCTCTGTGAGCTTCTACTTGAAGTTCTCTGAACTTCTACTTGAAGTTCTCTGAACTTCTACTTGCAAGTTCTCTGAAATTCTACTTGAAGTTTTCTGAACTTCTACTTGAAGTTCTCTGAACTTCTACTTGAAATTATCTGAACTTCTACTTGAAGTTCTCTGAACTTCTACTTGAAGTTCTCTGAACTTCTACTTGAAGTTCTCTGAAATTCTACTTGAAGTTCTCAGAACTTCTACTTGAAGTTCTCTGAATTTCTACTTGAAGTTCTCTGAACTTCTACTTGAAGTTCTCTGAACTTCTACTTGAAGTTCTCTGAACTTCTACTTGAAGTTCTCTAAACTTCTACTTGAAGCTCTGTGAGCTTCTACTTGAAGTTCTCTGAACTTCTACTTGAAGTTCTCTGAACTTGTACTTGAAGTTCTCTGAACTTTTACTTGAAGTTCTCTGAACTTCTACTTGAAGTTCTCTGAACTTCTACTTGAAGTTTTCTGAACTTCTACTTGAAGTTCTCTGAACTTCTACTTGAAGTTCTCTGAACTTCTACTTGAAGTTCTCTGAACTTCTACTTGAAGTTCTCAGAACTTCTACTTGAAGTTCTCAGAACTTCTACTTGAAGTTCTCTGAATTTCTACTTGAAGTTCTCTGAACTTCTACTTGAAGTTCTCTGAACTTCTACTTGAAGTTATCTGAACTTCTACTTGCAAGTTCTCTGAAATTCTACTTGAAGTTTTCTGAACTTCTACTTGAAGTTCACTGAACTTCTATATGAAGTTCTTTGAACTTCTATATGAAGTTCTTTGAACTTCTAGTTGACGTTCTCTGAATTTCTACTTGACGTTCTCTGAACTTCTACTTGAAGTTCACTGAACTTCTACATGAAGTTCTCAGAACTTCTACTTGAAATTATCTGAACTTCTACTTGAAGTTATCTGAACTTCTACTTGCATGTTCTCTGAACTTCTACTTGAAGTTCACTGAACTTCTACTTGAAGTTCTGAACTTCTATTTACAAGTTCTCTGAACTTCTACTTGCAAGTTCTCTGAACTTCTACTTGCAAGTTCTCTGATCTTCTAATTGCAAGTTCTCTGAACTTCTACCTGAAATTATCTGAACTTCTACATTAAGTTCTCTGAACTTCTACATGAAGTTCTCCGAACTTCTACTTAAAGTTTTCTGAGCTTCTACTTGAAGTTATCTGAACTTCTACTTGCAAGTTCTCTGATCATCTAATTGCAAGTTCTCTGAATTTCTACTTGCAAGTTCTCAGAAATTCTACTTGAAGTTATCTGACATTCTACTTGAAGTTCTCTAAACTTCTACTTGCAAGTTCTCTGAACTTCTACTTGCAAGCTCTCTGAACTTCTACTTTCAAGCTCTCTGAACTTCTACTTGAAGTTCTCTGTATTTGACGTTCTCCGATCTTTTTCCTGAAGATCTCTGATCATGATGCTAAGTGTCTCTGAACTCTTTCCAGAAGTTCTCTGAACATTTTTTATAAATTTCTCGTAGCTCCTCGTTAAAGTTCTTTGAGCTGCTACTGGAGATGCTCTAAACTTCCTCCAAAAGTCCGTGAAAATTTGTCTGAATCTCATTAAACCTCTAGTTAAGGTCAACTGAGCTTCTTGAAGCTTTCATAAATGGTGCTAGAAGATCTCTGAAGTTCTCTTGAAGATTTCCGATCACTTCGCTTTGAACTTCTTGCTTAAGATCTCTGCACGTTGTTCCTGAAGTTCAAATTCTCTTTACATCTTCGAAAAAAAATCTTTGAATTTTTGAGAATCTCATCGAACTTCTTGTCTGCTGAGCTTCTACTTGAAGTTCTCTGAAATCATATCTGAACAGCTCTGAACTTCTCCCTGAAGATTTCTGATCGTTTTTCTAACTCTCGCAAAACTTCTTCCTGAAGTTTTCCGTAACTATGCTTTAAGATTTCTTAACTTCTACTAGAAGTTTTCTGAACTTATAACCGAGAACTCTGAACATTTTTCTAATCTTCTTCCTGAATTTCATTGAACTTCTCCCTGAAGCTATCCGAACTTCTTCATGAACTACTCCTTAATGTTCTCTAAATTTCTCCCTGAACATCTCTGAATACTTTTCTACTGCTCACTGAACTTCTTCTTCTTCTTGAGTTCTCACTGAGCTTCTTCGTGAATCTCTCTTAAATTTCTTCTGAAACACTTTTTTCAAGTTCCCTGAACTTTTTTCTGAATGAAGAACTTCTCTGGACACTTTTCCGAAGTTCTCTGAACTTCTTACATCAAGATATCGGAGCTTCTACTTGAAGTCCAGTTTTCTAAAATGCTTGCTCCCGGAAGACGACTGAACATTCTCCTTGAAGTTCTCTGAATCTTTCGCGAAATCCTCCAAAATTGTCAAGCCTCTCTGAATTTTCTTGAAATTCTCACCTTAAAACTCGTAGAAGGAGCAGAGCCGAACTTTGAAATTTTGATTTTAAGGTTCAAATCCGCGACAAATCCGCGAAATTCACGAAATCCGCACCTGTTGTAACTTGTAACAGCCCTGAATAACCCATAGCAGGGTTAATCGATAAGTTTCCATCGGTCAAATTTTAACTAAAAGTTAAAGAATCCCCCAAATAGTTCAGAGCTTAAGGTTGTGTTCCATTTGGAAAATTTCACCTAAATTTGACACTTCGAAAATAAATTATAATGTTCGAAAATCCCTCTGTTGTTGATTGTCCGATTTTCGGGAAGCTGTTTGTCAAAATTGATTCCTGATCAGTCAGAAATAAGTCTGATGCAATTTTCCATCTGTCATATTTAAGTGAAAATTCACCAAATGGAAAACAACCTTAATGAAGAAAGTTTTCGAAATAACCATTGCGTAAAATCTCCCCTCGTTTAGTTTTGTAGCTGTTTTAAATATCGAAATTGTTTGGATGCTTATATATTAAGACCAACAATTGAAAAAACCTCAACTTTATTTTGTAAACAAGGCATTTTTCGCAAACCGAAGTCCGCCAACGCAAACCAAATTATCCTCTCCCCGATTGTGTTTTAGGTTTGCGAATGTAGGTTTCGGTTCGGGAGAAAATTTCCTTACAAGGTTTGTTTACAAAATGGAGTTGAGGCCTTTTCAATTGTTGGCCTTGTTATAACAGTGCTGATTACGCGATATTGCGCTAACATTTACGCGAAATATGGCATTAACCTGGGAAGGAGATCCAGGACTTGGAAAATATGACCGTCAGAACGAGTCAAACACAAACTGTTACGAACTGTCATCGCGAGCCAAATAGTATGATGATGCTTTAATCGAGGCTTGGTATTAATATCTTGTGTGAAGTAATGTTTGACAAATTTTAATTTTGAGCTAACAACAAGTTGTCGATAATGCTCTGGATGTTTATCATCTTTCACCTTGGTGAATGCATTTCCTTGGCATTGACAATCTTCCATCTCGAGTAAAATACAGTTAAACCCACTTAAAGTAATTAAATTTTCTTCCCCCTCAGAACTTCGTTTTACTCCCAATCCCATTTCCAACTTTAAAATTTCACAACCCACCTACGTTCAATCCCACCATATGACACTGCGCCAATCGCACCTTGTTTCGGGAGAAAAAAAGAATTCCCTCCTCAACTCCTATACCGAAAGCGGATCGCCCAAAGTCGCGATTGCTCAATCCATTCGGATTAACCCCATTTTCCCCCTTTATTGGTGAGATTGATTCTTCACGGCGACACACAGCTAGGAGCTCTATCCCAATCCCACATCTTGCAATCCGCTGCCAAACAAACCGAAAGCATACAGAGAATACACGACGGGAACGTGTGTGATTTTTATGGCCCATAGCCGCTTTCAACAGCTCGTTCCAATTTGCTTTTAAAACTTCTCGAACACGTGTGTTCTAACCGTAACAAATGAGCCACATCTTTCATGCTTCTTAATAGAGACAGAGAGAGAAAGAAAAAAAACTGCGACGCCAACACACGGAAGATGACCTGCTGCTGCTGCTGTTGGGTCTATTTCTGGGATTTCCAATCTACATCTGGTTGCACTTTATACCGATTCTTGCTGCCCCTGCCACACACAGCATGCCATGAACAGCTCATAACAAATGAAAACTATTAAAAAATCTCCCGGCCGTCTTGGATTTTCTATTCCGGGATCATTCGGACCGGAGCACGCGTGTTCTCTTCTTCCGTCGAAAAATGATGAATTTGTTTGTAAATAAAGAATGTTGGGTGCGCGTTTGCTGTTTTCCACTCCTTCTAATCGGAGCCGAGGAAAACTTAAATGGCTTTTTCTAAAAAAATATTGATTTTTTTTTTTGTTATTGTTGCATTTTAGCTTCTGCGTGTAAGTTTTTTTTTTCTGTTTTCTATCAATATTGGTTAGTTTATGGAAATGCTTCGGTTCATAAATCTGGTACTAAACTGGTGTTTATGGATGATTCGATTCTCTCGCTGCTTTTGTCTTCGACTACGACGGTTTTTTTTCTGCTTTTTCTTCTCTAGTACAAATAGTTGATTTATTTTTATCAATGTTGCTGTTTCTAGTTTCATAATATGGAAAGATTTTCGATTTCTTGTTTTGTTGCTGTTCGTTTTCAGTATAGGAATGTCTGCGGTCAAATAATTACTGCGCTCGGCTTTACGATGCTCTTTAAAATGTCATGCACTTTTAGTTCCTGGACTACTTTCCTCTCGATCCCCCCTTTTAGCTATCATTCGTGGTTCATTCGAACGTCTTCGGTTCTCTTCTAAAATAAAATATAGACCATCTTAAAATTATAGGACGACTCGTTCTAAAAAACTATCCGTTTCTTCTTCTCGTGTAATTGTTGTATAAAAAATGCAATATAAAATTATCCTTTGTTTAAGTAAATAAATAAATCACGCTCACCTCGTTCGTTTGTGTATGTTCTCTTCCCTAAAAAAAAACAAAAAATTATCGCAATAAACACCCGAGCTCCTCGGCCGAAAATCTGCAAGCATGACGATAGCGACCCTTTCCGGTTTTCCGGTGCGATGACATTTGTAATCAACCGTCATCTCACCTGTCAGTGGTGGGCGACGCGATGAGGTCACGCCACACCGATTCGAACAAAAAACAAACAACAATGTCACGCAAAAATCGCGCAGCCGATGCTCTCCGTTCGTGTGCCTGGCCGTTACTGTTTATTATTTACGACACCCATAAATTGGTACGATGGTAGTGCTCCTTCGGCACAGCAAAAGCAACAAAAAAGAGACACCCCACTCTCATCAAGCGAATGACACTTGTGCCACGCTCCACCTTCGGCACAAAGCATCAGAGGCGCGGCTTTCTGATGTGATGTGTGTTCTTTTGAAATGGAAATGCGTGATTTGTAAACAGAAACGCTCGCACCACTCTTTCTTCTTTGATGACTTTTGCCAAACCATCTCGGCAGCAGAGTGTAAACAAACCGAAGCAGTGTACGGTCTCGCACCACCAGGTGGCAGCGCTATTCGCAATCGATTATCATGCTTGCAAACTTCCGTTCGAATCAAAGTGTCTGAAAACTTGATTATAGTTTCTCGAACCGAACGAGTCCTCCCGCTGCTAACCGGCAGCCATGGCCTCTCATAATCCGATTGAATGTTTCACCTCAAACCGTGAGGCACACAGAGCCGACAGCGTTTACCGAATAACTCAATTATATTGCTCGAACGGCTCGAACGCCAATGTGACGGGGAAAGAGGTGATTCCTTCGGTTGCTTTTAAGTAGATTTGTTCGTTTTCAAACTCATGAGGAGCTCCCGAGGAGGGTGCTGAAAATTAAAAAAAAAAAATCTAAACCCCAACTTCGGTCAATTTTGCTAAATGAACCTATTCTTCTTATGCCCGTTGTCCGGTCCAATGGCAACAACTATCAGCCCATCAGCTAACGCAACTCTCGTTGCTCACCAACTGCTCGAACCATTGTAGCACTGCTAAAAGGAAAGATAGTGCCTCCAATCGGAATCACTGATGACGACGACGACGACGATGAAGACAGTGCTGGGACTATTGTTGTGTGATTTTTTTTCCGGGGTGAAATGTGCCGTTTGTCAGGTTGCACACGACGACTCTTGGCGGCACAGTACGAACGCGGTCTGACTCAGCTTGGCTTAAGATTGTAGACATTGAATTTACAAATTTTACCTAGAAGAGAAAGAAGTCGTCAATGATATATAGGATTTTTTGGTTGAGGTTAAGTGCTTTTAAAATGGTTTCTGTATTTCTGCATGACAGTTGATTAACAAGATAACTACCTAGTAATTCAATCTTAACTTAACAGCTCGTGGTTTGCAAAAATGGGTGGCCAATTGCAAGGTACAAACTAATTGAACTGTTTTACCGTTTGCTATGCATTTCTAAAAACAAAAGATCCCATTCCAAATAAGGGTGTGCATTTCAATTCCGCGGAATTCCATGGAACAAAACCAAATTTGCACTTCAAACTTAAAAATATAGAAAACATAGTAATTTTTACACTTTACATAGGGGAAATGACGGCTTCGGCATGACATACTATTTTTGGCAACCCAAATTGAAACGCTAATTTCACTGGATTTTCTTAAGAAAACACTTCGCTGAATGCATTCAAACTATTCTTTAAACCCTGTTCACATTACAGCGTATATCACGTGATATATGCTGTCTTGCAATGAGCACTCATACATCTAGTTTTCACTGGAAATCCCATGCATGAGTGCTTATTGCAAGACAGCCTATATTCCGTGATATAGGCTGTAATGTGAACGGGGTATTAGGCTTTCAGCTTCAGAGATTGTATCCAAGACACGATCGTAGATTTGACGTAGGATTACGTGCTCGGTATCAATATTCGGCGACTGTGTTAGGGAGACCATTTTTTCCCATCACGGAAACGCTTCGTTTTCTGATGACAAAATTACGCATTTTCGTGCACAAAACGCACGGAATGTTTGGTTTATTCAAAAGCGAAAATTGATTGAAGGAATTTCTTGCTAAAATTTTCCAATCGTGAGATATTCGCCACCTAGATTAGATTTTTTTTGACGTAGGACTACGTCTGTGATTTTTATATGGGAGTACATTTTGTGAAAACCGAAAATGAAGCATGTAACGAAATTATGAAAGATTTTGAACGATAATAACTCAGCTGCCACTGGACCAATTTTAATAATTTAATCAACAATCGATCAGATATATTTGTACGCATCGACTTACTTTTGACTGTTGATTTTCAACAAGAACCTATTGAAAAAGTGGTAAATATCAAGCATCGTCAAAAAACGTCGATATAACTAACAGATCCTCCAATTACGTACATGCATATGCTGCTTCTCCAGTACAGTCATCAGAGAGCCGTTAGTAGATGAAACAAGTAGAAAACGCCCCCGATCACCACACAAAATGCTCTCCAGAGTTGTAATCGAGTAACCAAACTTAGTAGCAGGGGTGCAAGTGATTTTGCAAAATTATTTTTACACGTGTTTCGAGTAGAATGCAATGAGAGTGTAAGATCTTGAAATCAAAACAACAACAAAAACCAAAACAGACACTTTGTTGTTGTTTTGGTTCCGAACAAAAATCAGTTGCGAGCTACGGTTTCGATCAGAAGAAGTGAAATTATTATCGGAGCAATCATCATATGTAAGTTTTAGCCCTTAAATTATCGGAAATATCTTAAGACTTAAGAATTTATAGTTTTGTGTATCCTCTTTGCAGAATCTACCATGGATGCAGACGAGGAGGAGTCAAAGAACGAGACGTTTTCGTACCCTGAAGACGTTCCAGAATGCAGCTATCAAGCAGAGTACCTACTCGAAGCTCTCGCTGAGGAATTTTCTGATCAAGATCCACTAAGTGACGTCAGCAACAAGGAAAATTCTGGACCAAAATCTTCAAAGAAACGGAAGAAAACAGAAAAACACGTTGAGCTTCGTGAACCAGCCAGCAGCCAACTTGCTCTCCGTGGAGTTTTCTTCAAGCGACGTTTTGTTGGTGAAACTTCGGGAAGTCAATTCTCTTCTGCAACAGTTAGGGTAGAGAACTACTTCGGTCTAATCGCCCGTTTTGGGCCGATCGAGCAGAAAACTGGTACGATACTTTAGTTAATAACCTACCGAACGAAGTCAATGAGAACGTGTCGTATGAAGGTTCGTACGCAATTATTCCCAAAAACAAAAGAAGCGCTCCGACCGGATCCATTTTTATCTTCATCCGATTATCAGTATTAGACTTTTGACAATATCTCAACGATTGGTATCTCTTTATCAAATCTTACGGTACCTACGAAAAGGTACATAAATTTGAAAGCCATCAGTCAGTAATAATAACATTCCATTTGGTGCTAAACTGCGCTAGATTAAGAAAGACTAAGTGCGGGTTGTGCTTAATAGGCCGGAAATGGGGTAGTTAACCCTACCGGGAATTCGGTCGAGGAAATTATGCGAGGTGATTGGAAGATTTTGCAACCTGTCTTGTGTCGGGAAATCGTATTTGTTGAAAACAACGGTGTGCAGGTTCCGACATGGGCTGATAATGATACTGATTTCAGTGCAATGAGCAAGTTTGTCATAATGCAAGATCAAGCCCAGAAGCGACGTCTTACTATCGATCAAATTGATAGCAAACTACTCGTATCATGGAGAGAGAAGGAAATAAGGATTCACGTGCACATCTATTCAAACGCAGTGTCTTGTAGATCACTTTGGGATTTGGCTGACAAGCAACTAATTCGTTTTCAAAACGCAGATCGTTTAGGAGCACCAAACAATCAGACCTTGACTAATCTGGCAAAGGAACTTCAGGATCTTCATGGACATCATTTCACCGGACATTCAAGTGCCTGGAGGCTCTGGGCTAACTACGTTCACTCGGCTTCTCCACATGAACAAGAACGCCGAATGTCTGAAATGCCTCCGAATTTTTTGCTGAAATTCTTCCGATCGGCGCCATTATCAGAAGCTATTAGAATGGAAACAACCCGGAGTGGGTTGTCTGTAGCAAGCGCGATCAACGATGGATTTATGTCTGAACTAGCTGAACTGGAAGCCTAGGTGGATCTCCTGATTGAAGTTGGACAAAGAGTAAAAAGACGAATCAATGGACTACGGTCTCGTTCAACAATAAATGGCAGCTTAGTATCCGCAATGTCCGAAACTCTACGCCCAGAAGAGAACGAGTTAAGCCACACATTAGCAGATCGGATTGTCGACATGCAAGATGTTGATCATGCATAAACACGGATCTGTATTTTTATCATAGTTTTATTACTCCTGTAATGTTACTAACTGTTACATTACTTCACTTACTCACTCATATTAGATTCGAAATTTAGGTTTTCGATGGTTTTAGACAAACCAACTGTAGGCTTGAATGTTCCCCGGGTAGATACCCACAGTTCCGGAAAATTTTAGTACAACCGTAAGAAGAAAATGCTGAGAACGTAGATATGGCTACATGAGATAGATTTTCGTTTCGGTTTTCATTGTAGGTTTGCTTCATTGCATTTTTGGTGATTCCGAATACCAATTCAATCGGATTAAAAAAAGGACAGTATGGGGGAAGAAAAACTGGAATGATTCCGATTGATCGCAAATACAATACGATGTTCTGATCACAGTGGATACGAGCACCATCTAGTATCCACACAGAATTCGCTCCCGGATATCGATATACCTTTTTGTTTCGAAGAGCGAATGAACGGAAGCATTCAAAAAATATTTTTCTAGTAAATGTTCCCTCCGTTTCAAAACTGCCCAGCATCCCATTCTGCCCCAAAAAACACAAAAATGACACTCTTGGACGTCTAACAAACTCACCGCGAAACACCAGTTTTTCTCCTTTAACCCCATAACCAAGGTTGCGCAACATATCGCGGCTACCTATAGACACTTCATCTAAAAACACGAGATTGAACAAATCCCAATCTATTGAATTGAGCTCCGAAAAAAACGAAAGATTTCGTGCTCCCTTAATTGGATAGCACGCCGTTCGAGGGCTTTTCATTTCAGACCTTCCGCATGCAAAATTCTGCATATGCTCGCTGCACTTATTGTCACCTGGAAGTTTCGATAGAATAGATTGCTGCATTCATCCAAAACTAATACCGGATTGTTCTGGTACTGCTGTACAATCCAGTATCTGTGCTCTGCTCGGATTTTTTTGTAAATCTGTTTCTGCTGCTTCTCCGTGACCAAGCCAGCCTTCTCGTAAGCTAGAATCCAGCTGGAAATTGTAGTTTTACTCTTCTTGTAAATCACGGACAGATTAGTCCTTGAAATTCTCAGAAAATAGCTCGCCGACCACGAACGTTTTCCAGGATAACATTAGACATGATCAACTGAAACAGACATATTTATGAATAAAGCAACTTACAACCAATTTAGTATTGAACTGGTCGATCAGTAGATAACGTATTTACTTACCGGCAGGGAGTAAACAAGTATTATTTACGACAAATATTTGAATAAATATTAAGTTCGTAGAAAAAATCGTGTTTTGTGACTCGAACAGACAATCAAAAGCCAATGTTTTTGTATTCACTTCGGACAAGCATAACTGTAACTTTGACAACTCTATCTGTCATACGCATGGCCCGCACTTATTTCAACCCCGCACTTTCAAAGTGCGGAGTCCAGTAAGGTGCAAAATGCGCAATATTAGTGAGGTAAATTAGTTATGTCGAAAAAAAATAGGAAACAGATTGCCGACTGGACTCGAACCACGAACGTTGCGATTATCAGACCTGTGCTTTCTCCACTGCTCTCGCCATGCTTCTGAATATGGATTGCCTAAAAGCAAACATGAAGCGCTCATTTTCTCGCATACTCCACTTCGTAAGCTTTTTCTGCTGGAGAGATTCAAGACAAGTGTGTGCGTCGTTCTACAATGTTCCGCAATGTGGGTCTTACTGGTACAGTCGAAAGCGTAGATAGAACACGAAATAAAAAAGACAAAAAACCATTACATCGCCTGCATGGTCAATTTCTAACATTCGTTGCGATGTTCATGAACAGAGGACGATAGGAAACGGAACTAACATTCGTTGTAATAGATTTTTGGTTTGCGTGTAGCAACAGCATTCAGCAAGCAATAGTTCTTCCGTCACAGTGTAGCGTGTTTTCGGCGGACGTCTTTGCAATCAAGTCGGCCGTCATCGCAGCGAGAGC